CCCCCCCCGCCTGCCGCAGCCCCCCAGCCAACTCCTTCCATCTGGCTGCAGCTCCCGTCCTGGTGATGGTCAGCTCAGAGGAGGAGGAGAGTGATAGCTCGGAGACAGAGAGAGAGGACGATGAAGGGATTGTATTCGTTGCTCGAGCCACCGATGAGGTCCTGCAAGGAAAGACGACTCCTGGTAGGCACCGGTGCTCCCATGCCAGGGCAGCTGCTGTTGGGTAGCTTCTCCTTCCTCCGCCTGAGGAGTAAAGCTGCCTTGGCCTGGGCAAAACCAGAGTCAGCAGAGCACAAATGGGAGAATCGCTCTTCTCTGTGGCTCTGGGGGGACGGCAGAGCCTCCCCGGTGGCTCCCGCATCCCTGGGCCAGCTGGCCATTTGGTAGTGGTTGGTTCCGCAGTGTTCAGAGAGCAAGAGCGGTGCCAGATCCCTCTTACTGTCCCTCCTTCTGCACCCCCAGGCAGCCTGGATGTCTGCCCCAGTCCCTGCATCATCCCACCATCGCCTACCTTGGCAGAGAAGGAGCTGCCGTGGAAAGGAGACCAGGCTGATCTGGCTGTTTACGTCTCCTCGGAGACCACCAAAATCGTGCCAGTGGATATGCAGAAGGCGTGGAACCAAAGCATCTCCTCCCTGGAAAGCATTGCTTCCCCACCAGGCATCGAGAGCGGACCTCAGCACAGGAGATTCGCCTGCCCTGTGCTGGAGGAGCAACCCCAGTCTGCGAGCTCGGCAGTGCTGGATGCGGGCGCGGTGCCCCGTTTACACGCCCCCCAGCCACATCTCTAAGAGCGGCCGGTCGCAGAGCGACAGCAGCCCGGACGGCGCTGAGCAGCAGGAGCTGCAGCCTTTGATGGCCACGGAGGAGCAGGGCAGGGTGCTGCCCGCTGCGGAGCCCAGGTGGATGATGTTCAACAGAGCCAGCCACCTCTGAGGCTGACCACGGGTGGGGAAGGGGCTGCAGGCGGGCTGTGACCTGCTGACCGCTCTGCTGTCTTGCCTTGTGTCTCCATAAACTCCGGGAGCGGCAGGGGAACCCAGTGCTCCTCCTGGAGCTGCACTCCGCGGTGGGCTTTGCCCATGCTCCGACTGATGCAAAACTGGTCGATAATTGGGTTTCATGCTGCGACAGCAGGTACCAGCCCCCGTCCACCCAGGGAGGCGCAGACCCCAAACCTCTTTCTTCCTCTCTGGTCCCTACACATCTTTACAGCGCTGGGAGGCTGGAGATGTTCCTCCCAGGGCTGGGATCCCAGTCAGGCTTGGTCCCACCGTGGCCGTGCCGCCCTGCGGCGTGGGGGTGCCGGCTCACGGGCCGGG